TTGAGATAAAAAGTTGGTAATTTTATATACCACTGTATACGGGTTTTATCACTTTGCTATAAAAACTCCTATCAGATTTTTAACTTCTTCTTTGAGCTGTGGCTCTCCATAACCTCTTACCCCAAGATTTGTCCTGTAGTCAATCCTCCCTATCCATTCACACAAGCTCGTCAAGTAGATGACCCCTTCGATATATCTTGTGAGTACCAAATTCTCCATATCTCCTTTCTTCATTACTGTTGTGACCAAGTAAATGGTTAAGTAATAACAAAAACCAGGTTTGCAGATATATTGCATATTAAACAGTAAGTACACCAGAAGTGTATTATACCACTAGAAACAGTCTATCGAATGAACTAGCACTCGATCTATTCACTGTTCCCCGAACCTTCTCTCCTACTGAATTTATAGTAGAAGCAAGAGTCTAACATAGACTCTTTAGAGGGAGGACACCACAACAATTACGCGTCCAAGAAATTTCTTTAAATTCTTACAATAAGTGTCCTTTTTGTTTACATTTTTCTTAAGACTTCTTCGTCACTTAAGCTCTCACTCCATGGTATTCTCAGCATCCTTCTGTAGAACCATATACCTCCAGTTGTCTTTGCATCTGTGAGGAGATTGTCCATAATTCTGTTTTAACTTACGTGCATCATGGAGTCTATAGGTGACTAAAATAGACCTGATGGAATGGGGAATTACAAATCTCAGCCCTAACAAGAAGGGATGCTTTAAAAATCTGTTTGAACATTTATTCAGATTTTGGGAAATAGTTCGAAACGTTTACTTTTTAGCATCCCGTCGTCTACGGTGCCGGATCTCGGTGCTCGATTCCACATGAAATTAGTGTTCCTAAAGCTGATTTTCAAGGTAGGCAGGCCCTTCCCACCCAAAATATTTGTAAGAAAGGGGCTGTGTTGATTAAATAATTACACAAATCTTGCAATTTCATTTCTTGATATTTTATTCCCTTCAGTATTTCGTCAGTGATTCTCAGCCAATCTGTGGTCCCTACATTCCCCGTTTGTGGTGTGTGAGAGACTGATGGAAAACTGTCAGAGGCAATTCCATATATAACCGGGTGTATAACAAAATCTTTCCCACGGTTGAAAACCGGATTTAGGTGTGAAGTTACGTGTTTCTCCATTCGGTGGCCGTGTGTGAACGCTTGATACAAACAGCCTCTTTGGTCCGGAGTGCAGTCTTTGTTCTAGCATCATACACAACCCTGACGCAATATAATCTTACATTCATTCCTCTCTTATCAAATCCTTGTTCTTTCTGGGGGGGGGGTTCTGCAAGCACTTTTATTTCCTTTCAGTTTCAATTATTTCGTATCACGCTGTTTTAGTTATTGGCATTATTCCTTACCATTTTTTTTCCAGACATATTTCATCTTTTTTTTTCTTTATCTCAAAGATTCCTGTCCAAATATTCTTTATTTCCTGCCACTGTTCAGCACAAGGTGTAAGTCGAATACGTTGCATACCTGTTGTTCTGCAGATCGATTTTTCCAGAAAAAAATAAAAAAATAAAAAAAAAGAATCCCCAAACAAAAAAGAAGAATGACTTACCATTTTGGCTCAGTTTCTGTTTTCCTGTCGTTACTTGTCAGGATCATTTATCACCCTGACGATGACAAGGACGATTTCTTCCTTTATTCCTTTTATTTTGTTGACTCTTTCTTCTCTCCTTCCGTCCCTTTACGATTCATTCGTTTCGTTCTCTTTTTGTTCTTTTTTATTTTATTTTTCTTTCTTTCCTTTGTCGTTCTTTTTGCTCTTTGTACTTTCTTTTCTTTCTTGATTCGTCCTTAAAGACTTTCCTTTTTCTTTTTCTCTCCTTCTTACCTCTTTCTTCTTCATTTCTTTCTTTTCTTTTGTCATTAGAGTTAACTCTTTTCCTTTCTCTTTCTTTTCGAGTTCTTTCTTTTCTTTCGGGATTCTCCATTGTAGCACTCCTGCTCTTTTTATTCTTTTCCCTTTCTTTCGTCGTTCTTTCTTTTCTTTTCTTTTTTTCTTTCTTTACTATTCTTTTTCTTTTGTTCGGGATTCTTCCTTCAAGATATCCTTTTATATTTTTCTCTCCTTCATTCTGTGCTCTTTCTTCTTTTCTTCTGATTATTCCTTCTACCTCAACTTTTTCCTTTTTCTTTCTTATTCATCTTTTTCTGTTTTTTTTTCTTTCTTTCGTGATTCTTCCTCCTAATTTTCCTTCATTTCCTTTTATTTTTTCCTCTCCTTTTCTCGTTCTTTTTTCTTCTTCTTTTCTGGGACTTCATTTTTCTGACACTCTTTCTTTTATGGTGTTTTTCTTATTTTTCTTCATTCTCTTTTACTGTTTTCTCTTCGCTCTCTTACTCTCCTTCCCCGTTTTTCTTCCTCTTTTCGTCCATTTTGTTTTTTTTCTGGGCATTCTTTTTTTCTCACTCACCTCTTCCTTCTCATTATTCTATTCCTCTTTCTCGTTGTTTTTCGCAATTTTTCATTGGGTTTCCGTTTTTGCTTTTTCCACATTTATTTTTCTTCATTCTCACTTTTTATCTTTCATCCCTTCTGTGTTTTTCGTCTCCCCTATCTTTTCGTCATTCTTCTTCTTCTTCTTCTTCTTCTTCTTCTTCTTCTTCCACCGCGCACTCTAAAAATCCCTTTTTCTTTCTTAACGATCTTTTGATCGTTCCTCTTCTTTTCTTCTCATTTTCTCATTCTTCTTTCTTTGCCATCATTTTAATCTCTCGTTTCTTCTTCACTAAATCGTTCCTTCTTCTTTGCTTTGCTTCTCCTCTTTTATTTTTGATCTCTTCATTCTTTTATCTGCATTCCCCCTTCAAATTCTTCTTCCCTTACTTTTCTACCCTCTCTGCCGAGCTCTTTCTTTAATCTCTTACCCTCTTTCTCTTTTAGATTTTACTTCTTATTCTCGTTCACCATCTTCCTCTTTTCCTTCTTTCGTTTTCCTTCATTTCTCTTTCTTCCTAACGCATCCATTAGCAATCCTCCTCCATTAATACACCGTATCTTACGAGCGCTAAGCCACGCTCAAGGTATGCTTTAATGGCAGTGAAATATACCGTGTCACGTGTCTAATGTGACGCCATGACATCTTTAGAGTCACTGCATTTTAAAGTGCATTTTCACCTTTACAACTTCCAATATATATATATATATATATATATATATATATATATATATATATATATGTGTGTGTGTGTGTGTGTGTGTGTGTGTGTGTGTGTGTGTGTGTGTTTTATTTTGTTCTTGGGTACATATACATCTTTGTTACGACGTTTGGGAGTAGATAAAATTTAAAATGGCGTCTTGCTAACTTCGCTCGAGACCTATTTTTTGAAGTTGGGTCAGAAGCTATCTATTAATAACAATCCCAACAAATCAAGCTTAGATGGAGATGATTTTTTTTTTTATGGAGAGAAACAAAAATAAATCCCTGGAGTTCCTTTATTTGAAAATAAATAACTCTTATTTATCGTTCTGTGATGAATTTGTTTATTGACTTTGTTTTTCGTGTATTAAACAACTGGCCTCATGGGTTAAAGCATTTCTGGCAGTCGTGAGTTCAAGCCTGGCAGTACTGAAAAGTTTCAGTGAAAGAAACGGACAAAGGTGAATAAAACTGATGAGTATTAACTGATATGAAATATCCCCGAAGGTTGGAAAGCGGAATAAAAACAAACAACGCCATGGAATGAATAAGAGACTAATCTGAAATTTCAAGATTACCTAGTACTACAACGGACACTTGAAGAAGGATGGAGGGTAGAACGGCCGAAACATTGTGAGTATAACAATCAAATTGCTCATAACGGCCTGAATGACAAAGTATATAATAGCGATAAGATCTCATCTTAAAAAATCGAAAGTAAATTTCCTTTTCATGTTTTGAATTTTATGATTTTCTTTTTAGTGTACGGGCTTGACATTACACAATTTCTGTTCATATAAAATGCATGCATGTATGTATGTATCCATTTCAGTCTTTTTCTTTCTTTCTTTCTTTCTTTCTTTCTTTCTTTCTTTCTTTCTCTCAGATTTTCCTATCAATCTTTCAATATATCTATTTCAGTCATTTTGTATCTATCTATTACAGTTTTCGATCTATCTATCTATCTATCTATCTATCTATCTATCTATCTATCTATCTATCTATTACAGTTTTTCTATCTATCTATCTATCTATCTATCTATCTATCTATCTATCTATCTATCTGAAATATTCTCTGTCCAACCCACTCTCCTAATGATAATCAAGAACCATAACATTAGATATTTTTGAAATGTCATTTTAATTGGGTGGAAACCGTATCAATTCAAACTGCTTGTAGATCTTTTTATCGGTATCTATCTATCTATCTATCTATCTATCTATCTATCTATCTATCTCAGTCTGTTCATATCTATTCTATTTATCTAATACAGTTTTTTCATATCTATCTATCTATCTATCTATCTATCTATCTATCTATCTATCTATCTATCTAATCATTTGTATCTGCTTTTTGAAGCAAAACTCTCTTTATTAAATCTACCTCAGTCGTTCCTTCCAGTTTATTCTCTCCTGGCCTATCTATTTCTCTCCTGGTTTGTTTAAACACCCACCACACACGAACACACAATACATATGACATTTATCCGCGCGGATATTCACTCACCAACTTAAGCGTCTATGCCTCTATTCATTTAATCCTTTTTGCGTGTCCCGAAAAAATAGTTTTCCGTATACACTCACACAAATAGCATCATTAGAATGCACCCCCCCACACGCGCGAGCGCGTACTCTTACATGCTAGGATGTTAAATATCGAGGGAGAGAGAGAAAAAGAGGGAGAGAGAGAAAAAGAGGGAGAGAGAGAGAGAGCGATAGAGAAAGTTAGAAAGAATGTGAGAGAATGAGTGAGGCAGAATGAAAGACAGATATCGAGAGAGAGGCTAATTTTCAAGCATGCATTTACATATGCATATATAATTTTATGTTGAAGGAATGCTTTATTCTGTATGTGTGTGTGTGTGTGTGTATGTGGATCGTTCATCGAAAAAAGAAAGAAAAGAGAGAAAATAATAAAGGCAGAAACTAAGAAAGGAAATAAAAGAAAAAAGAAAAAAAGGAATATAAGAAAGAAAAGAAAGAAAAAAGAAAGAAAGAAAAGAAAGAAAATAAGAAAGAAATAGTAAAGAAAGAACATAAGAAAGAAAGAAAGAAAAGAAAAGAAAAGAAAGAAAAGAAAGAAAATAAGAAAGAAATAATAAAGAAAGAACATAAGAAAGAAAGAAAGAAAGAAAGAAAAAAAGAAAGAAAGAAAAGAAAGAAAATAAGAAAGAAATAATAAAGAAAGAACATAAGAAAGAAAGAAAGAAAGAAAGAAAAGAAAAGAAAAGAAAGAAAAGAAAAGAACGAAAAGAAAAGAAAGAAAAGAAAAGAACGAAAAGAAAAGAAAGAAAATAAGAAAGAAAGAAACGAAAAAATAAATAAACAAAAGTAATAAAAAAACAAGAAAATAAATAAAGAAAATCATAAAGAAATAAAGAAAATAATAAAGAAAGAAAGAAAAAAAGAGAAAGAAAAAAAGAGAAAGAAAAAAGAGAAAGAAAAGAGAGAATTTTTAAAAATCTTTGACACCAATACGACAAAACAAACAATAGATACTTGTCATGAAAGATCAAAAAGAATGACGACAAAATGACACTGACAGAAAAAATATTGAATTTTTTCAAAAGCATTTTCACTTTTAATGAATTGCATGATTTTCGGGACCGGAGAAGAAGTCCCTTATATCCGGGTTTCTCTTATATCCGGGTTTGGTCTATATTATATAAATTAACACAAGCTCTAATTTGGGACCAGAGAAAATCTCTCTTATATCCGGGTTTCTCTTATATCCGGGTTACACTGTATTTCTCGTAGAACTCTTGAAAGATTTTCGGATCACATTTTCTTCTACCACGTTCCAAAGTATCGTCTTAATCGATAATCCATAATCGTCTAATTCTGGGATTTATTTCAAAGGACAGATCCCAAACTCTTCAAGCCTTACAAGCAGTACGGTTAGATATTTTCAGTTTATTTCTGCAAAAGATTTTACCCGCTTTGAGGCCTAGTTTAAATAATGTCTCAAAATGACACCTAATATTTGTATCCGACGTTATAAGATGAAAAAGAAAAAAAATGGATTAATGTATAATAATAATAATAATAAAAGCTTCTCACTTGCCACAGCATGCATCATCCGAATGCTGCATGTGCCCAGATCCGAAGGTGGAAGAGGATTAGTTCAACTAGAACTGTCTAACAATACGAAGACAATCGGCCATATGTAGGAAAGATAACGACTGTCTGTAAACTGGAACTAGTTAAGTTTGTAGCGATCGGGGAAGCATCCTCTTGAATATCTGTTTAATAAAGTAGCGGTTCTTGGAAAGAAGCATTTCGAATCAAACTTCCTCCTTACTAATGGAATACGAAGGGAATAAGTATGATTCGTCCCAGTGTACATGTTATGGTGGGACTTAGCTGTGAAGGTCTGAACTGGTTGTACTAATGAAACAAACTAGTCAGAATATTAGCCTCGAAAACAGCGATACAGCTTACAACGATTCGCCTGTGAGAAGGAGTGAAAAAATACTTCCTCACCCACAAGGTTGTGTAGATATTTTTGAACTCTATCAAGGCTTGGAAATGAGCATTAGGCAGCTCCAGTTCAGATATGACAGCAGTAATCAATTTTTTGGTCTGATTTGAGTCTTTCGTGTGAAGGTCTGTAAAAAAAAAACGAAAACAATTTTGAGATATTTTAATGGAATAAAAAAATGAGACGTTAAAATAGGAAACATAGAAAGTAAAGGAGAAGAAAAAACAAGACAAGGAAATAGCAAGATAAAAAGAAAAAGTGAAAATGAAACTAAAATTAATGTAGGTAGAAAAACGAAAAGGAAAAAGTAAAAGAAAAAAAAGAAAGAAAATAAATGATTGAGAATGATAAAGAAAGTGAAAAACATTAAGAGAATAAAGACAAAAGAAAGAAAAAACTTCACAAATGAAGAAAGAAAAGAAAGAAAATTGTAAAACAGAAAACTAAAAGAAAAGAAAAATGACTGAAACGCGTCGAAAGATGGAAAGAAAACAGGGAAAAAATAAAATAGAGAGGAAAAAGGAAAAATAAAGAAAAGAAAGACAATTGTCATTAGAAGGAATGAAGAAGAAAGACAATTGTCATTAGAAGGAATGAAGAAGAAAGAAAAGAAAGAAAATTGTCGTTAGACGGAGTGTTGAAAAAAAGAAAAGAAAGAAAATTGTCGTTCGAAGGAATGAAGAAGAAAGAAAATTGCTATGAATTATTTGCATTAACTGAAGAATTTTTTAAAGCCCTATCTTGCCACCGATTTACCCAGCGTGTAATCTTCCGGGGAAAAACGTGTGAGACGGCAAAGAGATAAAGGGGACAGAGCGAAAACGATAAAGTACTTGTGAAAGTTCTCCAAATATAACAACAACAACAACAATAATAATAATAATAATAACAGTCGCAAGAAAGATCACAAAAATATGACAAAGTAATCTCACAGAAAATAATATTTTCAAACTGGTCTTGTAGGCACATAACTAAATACTAAGTTTGAAGACTAACAATGCTTTCATGTATTCGTTATTTCAGTATTTATTGATTTGGATTTTTACGGTTTATCAACCTTTTGCGGGTTATTTCAAACCAGCAATTTTTTTTTTAGATTGTAATAATTTGGGGGAGGTAATAATTATTTACTGATACAAGTCCTAACTGGGAGGCGAATAGCTGGATACATACCTTCCCATGGTTCTTTGCGCGTTAGTGAATATAACTCGGCTCTCCAATATCCAAGTCAGAGTGGTTATCCATGCCACCACCCGCAGATTCAATTTCATATCACCTGGTTTCCCTAAACGGTCACTCATCTAGGTACTGATCAGGTTCGACGTTGATTAACTTTGGTGAGAAGCAGTGTTTCAACGGGATATGGACGTAGGCCTCATAATTTCAGGATTTAGCTTGAATAGGGTGCAAACGAATAGTGTAGGAATGGTCAACAGAAAAACTGGAAGCGAGGCTAGTTTTAGTTGAGCAGGATCAATGTGATATATCAGGTTTTAAGAAAACATATGCAGACTTGATGAAAACAATCACACCGCTTCGTTTCTGTGTTTTTCTTGCAAAAAGAAAGCGATGTTATTGTCTTCATCCAGTCTGCATATATTTTCTTAAAACCTGATATATCACATTGATTCAGCTCAGTTAAAATAAAACCACCCTCACTGAATAATATTTGTTAATAAGGAGGAATTTAGGGCGAGCGGGCTTTGTGGTAGAGAGCCCATTATCGAAGATAGCGATAGAGCGTTAATAAAATTAATATAATGTTTTTTCACTTAACTCGAAGTTTCAAAGTAAACAGCTGTTCTGACGAGTGGTCACATCTATGTAACCACGAAACTTCGAAGTAAACATGAGTTAAGTGAAAAAGCTTTTTCATATTAATTCTCTCTCTCACTCTCCCTCCATATATATATATATATATATATATATATATAGGATGGGAACTTCTACGTCGTGTAATGTTTGGTTAGCAAGCCTGTCTCGCTAGATCAATCCCAACTGAATAGTTAGTTTAATCCTCACTGGGTGTCCCATATTTTCCGCCTTGTGCCACATCTAAGCTATGCTTATAAAATCACCACATGCCGTTAAACCAACTTTGAACTGACCTTGTGTCACATTCCGTAGCGGCATAAGCGCACTAAAATTGCATCCCCTACACACACACACACACACACACACACGCATATAGGACATATTCATAAAACATAATTAACATTAGACTATATATTTCACAACATCGCCCCCGTGACGCCGACGTGATCATATTGTGAAACGGAACACTGATCTTGAAAAATTTCAGTTATCTGTTTTGATTAGTCTTACTCTTATGTCCATCGTCTTTTCATGTTGAATTAAATATAGTCTAATGTTAATTATGTTTTATGAATATGCCCTGAAGATGGTCTACTAGACCGAAACGTCCGACATTGACATTATATTAACATTAAAACAGCATAATTGCATATTAGGATTTTTGTTTGTTTTTTCCGTATATTTTTCTTCATACTGTCGGATCTATATCCATATATTTGCTTACACGCACACACACACACGCACACACACACACACACACACACATATATATATATATATATATATATATATTAGTAATCGTTGCGAGTAGCGACAAACTGTTTCATGCTTGATGGCCGAATGATTGGGTTCATGCATGAAATAGAATGTTGCCACTCGTTGCTGACTTCAAGGACCACTCTTATATTTACATAAGCTTATTTCTGATATTGATTGCTTTATCCATAAAGATAGCATATATATAGCATACCATAAAACTATATTTTTATCGTAAGTCTATACAAATATAAAACACTTACATTCTTTAAGCCTACCAATCACTTCTTCTACTTACAGAGAGATGGCTGGTAGGACTTAATGCAAACAGATTCCAATCGCTTCAAATATAATTCCGAATCTTTCCTTAGTACTGAGAACAAGAACCTGTCCTAGTTGTAAACCGAGCCCATTACTGGTTTTGTAGCAAATGTCCAACTATGACTGATCACATATTCACGCACGTGTGCAATCTGACAGCGCTGCCCTTGCGAATATTGCCTGCTACGTGTTGATTGATCCGTGTTTCCAGTCTGTATATCTGGAGTATCAGTCCCATATCTGGGATGGAGTTACTCGTTCCTCAATTCCCAGTCTTCGTAGTGTACAAAATCGTTTACGCTGTTTTTACGGAGAAGACTTATTCTCCTCTCTGCTAATCCTTTCTCATATAACCAACGTCGCAAGCTTATTGGTAATCAGTTAATATTTCGATGGCAGTTGTTCAGGTGATCGGATCAGAGCTTAAGAGCTTGGACATGCCACTTCCACGGTGTCGAATCACCCGCATTTCCTCTGTATTCCAAATGTAAATAGAAAGTTTCACTCAACTTTTTCCCAAACCAATGCCTGCTACTCTGTGGAACAGACTCCCGTGTGGTTGCTTCCTTTAACATTCCAGTCTTAACCTCTTCAAGTCAAGGGCCAACTGTTATCTATCTTCCCTTTCCTCATAATCTTTGCGTTCAACCATCTCTTCTTACTTTCATATCACATTCTGCATTCATCATAACGATTTTATCAGTTTTCCCCTAAGTTGAAGGTCTCTAGCTTTGTATTTGGTAAAAATTAGTATGAAAATACACACACACACACACACACACACATATATATATATATATATATACGTATAGTCTGATCAGATCGAGACATTCATATGGATTCCTTGTATGGCGCCAAACTCGATCAGAAATTAAACTAAACTATTAGCATTATACAGTCACTTTCTTCGTGCGAGTGAAGCATGTAGGTCTTTGCGAGGACCATCCTCTCTCTTTGAATCTCGTGAGCTGACATTACAGGCCCACAAAAAAAAAAAAAAAAAGAAATAAAAGAATTTGCCGGATAAAAGAAACACCATCACTTGAGGACTTGCAACAGAAGCAACAACTAAAATGGGGAGCACATGTAAATCGAAAAGAAAAAAATGTAATAAACAGTATGTTGTAGTTCCACACTACTTCAAACAAAAGGTTAAGAAGGAAACCGCCACCAATACCGGAAAGAGCAATAACAGCTACAGGACTTGAGAAAAACTGTTTCAAGAGTTAAAATTTTTATACATTTCAACTGACTCTTCGTGCAATTAATGATGTATATTTCCTTATAAGGAAACGGCTAATATTCGCACGAGAATTAGAGATGAGGAAAACAGATACTATACCCTGATCCCAACTCGATGGTCAGCGAGCGAAGAAAGGCGTAACTCGAGTAACATTATGCTTGCTTAATGAAGGCTGAATATTTCCTTATAAGGCTAGTATTCCCATGAGAATTACAGAGGCGGAAAACAGATACTATACCATGATCCCAACTCGGTGTTCAGCGAGTGAAGTAAGGCGTAACTCGATTAACATTCTGCTTGCTCAATGAATGCCGAATATTTCCTTATACGGCTAATATTTCCATTACAATTAGAGATGAGGAAAACAGATACTATACCTTAATCCCAGCTCGATGGACAGGGAGTGAAGAAAAGCGTAAGTAGAATAGGAATCTAAATGGTCTGTGAATGCTGAATGTTTCCTTATAAGGAAACGGCTAATATTTTTATTATCGTTGTCGCCATACTTTAGTGAATTATTTTCCATTATTTCATTATCACCAGTCTTCCCGACATTGGATATAATTTTTCTACTATTTCGACTTTAATGCTAATTTTCTGTCTCCCTTTGTTGCCAGCCACTCTTCCGCCGTCATTCATACGCTCTGCAACTCCCAGAAGTAGTCACCCACATCGCGAACGATGATGACTTTATCGTCAGCCAAAGACACACCCGGTAGTCGGCCTTGAAACTAGAGTTATTAAATTATAGTTTCAAGGACGACTACTAAATTTAACACTTAGCATTCCTTGCAGAAATTCTTGACTACTTCTCTTCTGAAATATTGTTTACCATTTTCATAGAGATCTCTTTTAAGCCATTAATATCCACTGTAAAATCCGGTATCAATTATGAAAATTAAAATAAAAATCTGGTATTAATTATAGGTCTATAAAAAAAAACCTGTACTACTTATAGGTTTATAAAAATCCGGTTTTAATTGTAGGTTTCTAATTACAACATTTTCGTACTCACAATCCCAGTTTTGAAACGATGGGAATTGAGTTAATGTTTGACCACAAGTTTCGGGAAGTGACACTTTGTTGTAGTGTGTAAATATTTAATCCGAGGCCGAGGGAACGACACGAAAGCAGAACGCACAAAAAAAAAAAAATCTAGGTAAAATTGCTAGCGAAAAACACCGAGTCATGAGTAAATAATCCCGTTATTTTTTACGGGTACTATGCTAGTAATAATTAAACTCCCAACACTAAAAACCGACCGAATCCAGTTAGCATAGGTGAAAGCTGGACATTCAAATCGCTGAACTAATAGAAAGATACTTGTACCTCGCCTTGTATCTGTGAAAATATTGGAAAATAGTCATGCCCGTAATAACTAGTACACTCGGCAACGTGCCCAAAACAATACAGACGGGAGTGGAGAAATTGATAATCCGAGAAAGAATAGAAAATGTCCAGTCGATGGTAGTGGTGTGGTCTGCAATGAGACTGAAGAAAATGTTGCAGATTTGAGGATACATATTAGCCCTCAGTGTCCGGTAATTATCACCATTAATTAGTTGTGAACATGTTAATCTATAAAATAATAAAAATGATGATGTTTTTGCCTGTTCGTAGCCGGGGAGGAGCAATGTGGGATAGGACCATCTTCATTGACAAGCACCCGGAGAGCAATCGCCCTGATATCACACTTGTGCATATGAGTAGCCCTGAATGGATCCTGATAGATGATCTGGCACATAGGAATAAGAACATCGTGAAGGCGGCCTAGGCGAAGATACAAACGTACCAAGATCTGGCCTGGCAAATCAGAGAAATATATCAAGCAGCAGCTCAAGTTGTCCCTTTTTGTGGTTTGAATTTTTTCAAGAATTACCTGATATCATTGGGAGTGCGCAGGTGGCAGCACTACTTGGAATAACTCATGTACTGAGGAAAGCACTGTGTCTCTAAGCTGCCAGTAAGAGGTGAGATATGGCCATCATCATTCGGCCGAAATATCTACGAGTCGAAAAGGGCATCATAAATCAAGTAATAATAATAATAATAATAATAATAATAATAATAATAAGAAGAAGAAGAAGATGATGATGATGATGATGATGAAGAAGTTTGTTAAGAATATACCAAAAAAAGAAAGAAAGATAATGGTGATGATGAAATAAAAGTGACGAAAAAAGCGAAAAGGAAAAATGAAGAAAAAGAAAAAGATGAAAATAAAAACAAAACGAAAAAAAAAAGAAAGAAACATGGAAAAACATAAATAATAAAAAATAAATAAAAAGATAAGGTAGAAATATTGCAAAGAAGAAAAACAGGTAAAAAAAAACAAGAAAGAAACGAGAAAAGCAATAATAATAATAATAATAATAATAAGAAGAAGAAGAAGAAGAAGAAGAAGGAGAAGATGAAGAAGTTTGTTAAGAATATACCAAAAAAAGAAAGAAAGATAATGGTGATGATGAAATAAAAGTGACGAAAAAATCGAAAAGGAAAAATGAAGAAAAAGAAAAAGAAGAAAATAAAAATAAAACGAAAAAAAAGAAAGAAACATGGAAAAACATAAATAAAAAATAAAAAATAAAAAAAGATAAGGTAGAAATATTGCAAAGAAGAAAAACAGGTAAAAAAAAACAAGAAAGAAACGAGAAAAGCAATAAGAAGAAGAAGAAGAAGAAGAAGACGAAGAAGAAGAAATAAAGTGTGTGAAGAACATTCCATTTGAAAAGACTTTATAAATTTATTATTCAGTATAGAGTCTCGTTTCCACAAAGTCATAATTTTCTGTTTTCTGGGTTTTCTCGATTTTATCAACATTCTCATGAATTTGTCCTCAGTTGCAATCATAAGAGCTACCATTTCTATTTTTAAGTGTTCTCTGCATAACTGTTCCCGCGTTTGGTAGCTTTTTATTACTCGCTTTACGAATGGTCATCATAAAACTTTCCAAGTTCTGTTGTGCGTATTTTACAAGATCCATTGACTTCTATAGAGATAAAGCCTTTTCTATTTACATCTCTACCTCATGATTAATTTTAGTTTTTACAAATGCGGCTGGAATGGAGGTTGCAATTCTCACTTTAATGTAACATATTTGTTCCAGTTCTCTGCTGATGTTCACTCAGGTTTCGATCTTTTCTTTTTCTATGTCAGTTTCCCAATGTCGTCTGCCAAAACGGCAACGGAATCCATTTATTTGTGGGTTTGATTCTCTTTGATGCACAAAATGTCTTACATGTATTTTCTCCTAGAAAAACGAAAGAAGAATGAAAAACAAATGAATCGGCTTAAATCTCTGTTGTTGTTTGAGCAAGTATTCTTTCCTTTGCTTACGATGACAAGTTTTATTGTTGATGACTGACAAACAGTTAGGGTTTGAATAAAAGGAATAAGAATAAAACATGACAAAAAGGTAGAAGAGAACGGGAAAAAAGAAGAAAAAGAGACTGAAGAAAAGAAGGAAGAAGAAAAATATAAAAAGTGACCAAGAAAAAAAATAGAAGTAAAAAAGCGTAAAAAGAAGAGATGAAAAAATCGTGGAGAAAAGAAAACAACAAAAAGAAATAGAAGAGAAGGAAAAAACGGGTAAACAGGAATAAAAAATAGAAGACAAAGGAAAAGAAAGGGTTAAAAAGAAAACAAGAGAAGGGAAAAGAAAGGGTTAAAAAGAAAACAAGAGAAGGGAAAAGAAAGGGTTAAAAAGAAAACATGAAAAAAGAAACAGAAGAAAAGTAAAAAAAAAAAAGGGTAAAAAAGTATGAAAAATAAATAGAAGAGAAGTAAAAAGAAAAGGGTAAAAAGAAAGCATGGAAAAGAATAAAAGAGAAGGTAAAATAAAAGAGTAAAAAAAAAAGAGGAGAAAAAGTGAGGGTGAAGGAAAGAAAAACAAGACAAGAAAATTAAAAGGGAAAAGAAAAATATAAATACAAAAAACGTAGCAGATAAAGTAGAAAGGGAAAAATAAAAATAAATTAAGAAGATAAGAATCAATAAATGAAGGAAAAGATAAACTGAAAAATCAACCGAAAAAGAGGCTAAGAAAAAGAAGAAGAAGGAATAGGAGATAAAAAGAAAAACAAATAAAAAAAAAAACGCAAAAAGAAGAAATATATTTTAATAGAGTTTGGAATTCTGAAATGAGTCATTATAATTACTTGACGAATTGTTCGGTCACATCTCTGCATTTTAAACCATTTTTTCTCCTTTTTCTCCATCAAGACAAAAGATTAATAGATACAAATCTGTAAACGATATTTATATAATGAAAAGTAAACGCATCTCTTCTTCAGCGACTTGTCCGGCTTTTGTATTCTCATCTTTGTTTGCCTATATTAATCATCTGAATTGATGCCGGAATTTGTTTGCCATTGAAGAACCCCGTGTTCAAAGAGAAGCGGAGAAATCCATTTATTTGTGGGTTTGATCTTCTTCGATGTCTTACATGAATTTTCTTCAAGAAAAAAAAAACCAACAACAAATGGAATTGTCCTCCATCATTGTTGCTGGTTCAGCAAGTAAATTTTCTTCGACATGGCATTTAGACATTAAACTCCATTCTGATCAAAGCGACGTGGATACAAGCAAAATTATATTTGCAGAAGAAAGAAAAAGAATAAAATTCACTGTTAGAATTCTTCTTCTTCTATGTGCCTTGTCGCTTTAGTTCTTTAGCGATCACATATCTTCACAATTTCCTGTCCTTTGTAGCGCTTAATAAATATTGTTTTTGTTATCTCTCCTAAACCTTGTTCTGCCATCCATTTACACAAGCTTAATAGGGGGGTTATGCGTTGTTTTCTTCTATCATTCTTGCTTTCAATCTGTCGTATTAGCATCAAATTTTCCAAGCTCTCTTTCCTCAGTATGTGCCCTAAAAATTTCAGCTGTCTCTTCCTGATGATAAGTATAAGAGTTCTTTTCGTTTCCATTGTCTCTAGAACTAAGTTATAACGTTATTGTTCGCTTCCGTTGTTTAAAGCGGTGCTTGAGGGAAAGTGTGTAGCGTGTGGTCGTCTCACCACACTACAGAGGTTCCATCAATGACCATGGCTTATGCAGCGGTTTTTGGCCAAGAGCAAATTTCTCCATCTCCAACAACCACCATATTCCCCAGATATCGTCCTATGCGACTTTTTCTTTTTCAAAAATCAAATCCTACTTGATAGGAACAAGATTACAAGACGTCGAGAAAACCCAAGAGAATGCGAAGAGGCAGCTGGTCGCTATACCAAAAAAGGAGTTCCAGGAATGCTTCCATCAATGGAAACGATGCTGAAAAGTGTGCGGCTTCAGAAGGTGACTACTTCGAAGGAGATTAAATGCCGAATTGATATGTGTTGTAGTTTTCTTTTTGTAATGTTCTCGCTCACTTTCATTGTTTATAGCAGTACTTGGGAGGAAAGTGTGTAGAGTGTGGTTGTCTTACCACACCACAGAGGTTCCATCAGTGAACATGGTTTATACAGTAGGTGTGGACCAAGAACAACATTTCCCAGGTCCGACAACAGCCATATTCCGCAGATCTCGCCTCTTGCCACTTTTTCCTCTTTCCAGAAATCAAACCTCTGTTGAAAGGAATAAGATTTCAAGACGTCAAAGCAATCTCGAAAGAATGCGACAAGGCAGCTGCTCGCTATCCCCACTCCGCACCCCACCAAAAAAACAAAAAAGAGTTCCTGTAATGCTTCTATCAATGTAAATGCTGCCGGATAGTGTATCCGTTCAAAAGGGTACTACTTCGAAGGAGATTAAATGCCGAACTGATATGTGTTGTAGTTTTCTTTTTATAGCACCAGTCACGATACTTTTTGATCAAACCTCGTATATGCATGTACATATATATATATATATATATATATATATATATATATATATATATATATATATATATAGATAGATAGATAGATAGATAGTGACTATTTAAAATCAGTTGAGTGTTGAAAATGTCGTTTACATATAACGTTTCGCTATATTTCATATTTCCTAAGCGGAAATCTAATTGATTTGCTCACGGGCATATTTAAAAACTTTGTATTAGAAAATTTTTGGTGTTAGAATACAAGAGTTTTTTTTAAAGTTGTATTTTGCAAATGCTCAGATAAAATGACGAAACGACACATGTAAATAAAAAAAAAAAAACAACCAAATGAATCCAACATCCAGGTGGCTTTCACATATTCCATTTTTATGTACTTTGTCAATTGTTTCATATCAATCATATACATGTATATCAGACAAAGACTAAAGTATCTGTAATATCAACACAAAGCCTACAAGGTGACCAAAGAAAAAAAAAGACAATAAAAGAAAATCAACAACCAATAAAACAAATACCAACGATAAAGAAGATAAAGGGAAACGGAAAGATAATCCCAGAAGAAAAGATATACACCTACATAAACAGTAATATAAAGTACTCCATGTTTAAATTACCAGATCAGGGCAATTACGCTTCCGAAGCATAACTCAGGAAGAGGCAAAATTTGAATCATTACTTGAGTTTCACACTACTGCGATCATCAGGCGACCAGAAAGTACACACACACACACACACACACACACACACACACACACATATATATATATATATAGTTGAATGGATATGAGTTTGTGACCTTGGGTTCCACGTTGATGCGATCTTCAGTTTGTCTTAGAATCGCATAAGCGTGAAACACAGGCTCACAAACTCATATCCATTCAACTAAATATGTTAGCTCTATCACTGATATTGGGCTCTCTCTGATAAGCACCGCACATATATAAAAAATATATATATTTATATATATATATATATATATATATATATATATATATATATATTATATGTATAAGGGGAGTAGCCTCTCCTTAAATAAATTGGACGTGGCATGTAAGCTGAACCTAGTTGTAGATTGCAGTTCTAGAGATCATGGTTTGAGACTATGCTGATTTAGTCCGCCACATGGTGCGGTTCTAGATTGATTTGTTTCTTATAATATTTTTCTTTTCTTTTATGGTGGCTGATAAAGAAAGGACAGAATTGAGTATGACGTTTCTTTCCTCTTAGAAACTACTACTGAAACTCTTGTATTCCATAATTATATATATATATATATATATATATATATATATATATATATATATATATATATATATATATATATATATATATATATATATATATATATATATTACAATGAATCATTCATACAAGAAGTAAATTAGTAAAGTTAATGATATAAAATGACGAAATCCCTTCGCTAACAAAATTTTAAAAGTGCATTAACCTACCAGTCGCTCGTTGAATGTTATCTTTATTTTTATTTTTTTTAAGCTGTACAAGGTCTTTTTTTAATACGCAAGTATTTTCGACTATACATTCAGTCATCTTCAGGCATAGAAATTATTTTGTTTTTAGTAAAATTCAGGTAGAATCCGAGACGAAAAAATATAATGCGAATCGAAATATGTTTTTGGAAGTGTGTTGATAACGGATACAAAGTTTTCGAGCGTGCAGTCGCAATGCTAAGGTTGAATTTTTTGGAAATTTAAGAGAGTTCGTTTTTTACTAATATGGCAGTTTGAGAATATATAAGGCATGAACTAAATAATTCAATAAATAGAGTAATGTTAACGAAGCATTTCCCCATTTTATATCATTAACTTTACTAATGTACTTTTTGTATGAATGATTCATTGTAATATAAATTGAACTGCACCACATATTTGATATATATATATATATATATAAAATATTATCTATAATATATATATGATATATACCAAATTATAAAGATAATACATGGTTTATTTTCTTTTGTCTGACCACACACACACACACACGCACGCACGCACGCACGGTGGAGTAATGGATAGCGGCTTGGATTGTGGAATCGCAGAGCCGAGTTCGAATTCCAGTCGAATCCATTACATTCACTTACGTGCTAATACCCTTGGGAAAGGTATGAATCCTCTTCTTCTCCCTCCAGCTATGGGTAAAATAGCAGGACAGACTGGGTTATATAGCCTTGGATGGCAACAGGTCTAGGAGAAGAACAACTCTGAATTCAAAACCGTTTGGGAATCTTGTGGCACTTAGTGCACCAGGTCTGTATTCGTCCCTTCAAAAAGTGTAGATGGTCCTGCACGAAACCTTCACCACTATAATGAAATCTTATGTTGTCGGGCTGTCGGTTTTCCGGGAAACTGACCTGCTTGACCCTCATACGTTTAATTCGACGGGTGAGTCGACTATATATATATATATATATATATATATATATATATATATATATATATATATATATATATATATAAAAAAAAGAAAGAACAGTAAGATATAAAATCCGGTGTTCTTATAGATATTTTATTTTTACAAAATAGTGCTCAATGTAAATTTACAGAGCATTAATATTATAAATTAATTGATTTAAAATATGGTTATTTTCGCTACACAGTTCCAACCATGTTTCAAAAATAGAAGCTAAAAACCCCTAATTTTATTTTTGCAATTAAATTAAAAGCATTAGTTCCATTTCATCTTCAAGCGAATTTTGGAGTAACTTTTTAAAAATTACCGGGTTTTAAAGACACAGCTAAAATCACGTTTCCATGGTTACAGAATATTCTACTTAAATTGAACAAGGGGTGTCTAGATTTTCCTTATGTCAGTATCATTGTATCAGTTATTAGCTACAATTTGGTATGTCAGGTTTCAGTGTAAAATACATCCCTACCCCTTACCAAATTGTAGCTAATAACTGATACAAACTGTGTAGCGAAAATAACCATATTTTAAATCAATTAATTTATAATATATATATATATAACAAAAACAAAAACCCAGTGTTGGTAAAATCAATGCACAAAACCTACCAGGTCTCCAAATAAATAATAAAAAAAAACTAAAAGGCCAAAAGACAGACACCTACCTAAACAGTAATATAAAATGCTCTATGTTTAAAGTACCACGACAAAGCACTTACGCTTCCCAGCGTAACGACTAAGAAAATGACTATGTACGGACCGCTACTCGTGTTTCACGCTACAGCGATTGTCAGGCGGCCAAAACGATATATATATATATATATATATATATATATATATATATATATATATATATATATATATATATGGAAAAATTCTTTTACTTTATATTTTATTTTCTAAAGAAGACGGGTAATCAACGAAACATCTCCAAATAAACAAGAAAAAAAATATGTCTGTTGGATTCCCGCCAAGTTTTATATATAGTTATAAATAAAATTAAATTTCTACTTATCTTGTTCCCTTACTCAGAGTTTCCCGGATGTTACATTCACTCGTCATAGGACATGGGCAAAATCTAGTTCTCTGACGAGTGGAAGTAATATCGAGAAACTCTGAGTAGAGAGACAAAGTAAGTAAAAATTTTATTTCATTATCGAATAATTAACTAACAATTGCAAAGACAATTTGCCATGAAAACTTGATATACTTTTTTTTTTTTTTTTACCGAAACCCAATCTTTGTTGTACAAATGCAAAACTTCAGATATAAATAAAACGTCTTGTCGTTTCTTTACGTACATAAGTATAATAAAGTTCCTCGTGTAGACAGCCCCAAAAGCCACTCGGGGCAGAGGGTTAACGAGGAAGAGGCACCACCCGAAGAAAGTGTCACCAGAAGTTAAAGAAATGACATTGGACAATCCTTAACAGGAAACCTATTCAAAATTAATGGGGAGTAATGTGATAGGTGAACCTATTTACTTCTGTTAGGAAAAAAGTAAATAAACAGTAAATAAAAGTTCAGAGCTTTAGAGGTGGAAGCGTTAGATGTATAGAGTTGAAGTCTATTTCTCTCTCTCTCTCTCTCTATATATATATATATATATATATATATATATATATATATATATATTACTAATAATATATATACTACCAATAATGATAAATACATTATATATACCGGGTGTAACATCAAAATTGACCGACAGCATAGGATAATTGTCCATCCCATAAAATGTTTAATGTTTAAAAAACCATTAATGTAACTGTGTTTTTTTTTTCCAGGTTTTCACATAAGAGGTTTAACCATTTTAACATCATTTGTCGTAAGAATCCCTGAAAATCCCTTCGAATTATTCAGCTAGAAAAAAGAACAGATCAAAATCGTTTTGCGACAGTCCCACCAAATGAGCAATGGTGAGACAAAAAAGATCATTAAGGCCTTCAGTAATGGTACCAACATTCATACTTTGGCTTCCATCTTTAAAGTCCATTCAAGAACCATCAAGAGAATGGTGAATAAGTTTTTAAAAAAGGGAACAGTGGAGAGGAAAACTTCATCAGGAGGTCAAAAACAGCAAGAGGGATCATCATTTCAATTTTTATTGTTCAAAGTAGAGTCCAATAGTGTTATAAAAACCTCGGAGAATTCCAGTAAGATATCTTTAATCATTTCTAAGATACAACGATTGAAAACTTAATCTAACAATTGGACAATTTTGCTGTTACACGATTTGGATACTTTTTGCCGTTATACCCGATATATATATATATATATATATATATATATATATATATATATATATATATATATATATATATATATATGTGTGTGTGTGTGTGTGTGTGTGTGTGTGTGTGTGTGTGTGTGTGTGTGTTTGTGTGCGATGAAACCATATTTTTAAATCAGTTAATTTATAATATATATGCTCTGAAAATTTACATTGAGCACTGTTTTGTAAAAAATAAAATATCAATAAAAACACCGGATTATATATCTTACTGTTCTTTCTTCTTTTTTTTTACTATGATATATATATATATATATATATATATATATATATATATATATATATATATATATATATATATCATAGTAAAAAAATGGAATAATAATAATAAAAAACGAAAGAATATTAATCTACAACCCAGTGTGTCTAATGATTTTAATTTTTAATTTTTTTATTTTCTTATTGTTCAATATATATATATATATATATATATATATATATATGTATGTATGTATGTATGTATGTATACACACACACATAGATAGATAGATAGATAGATAGATAGATAGCATTTTATGCACATGTATTGCAAAAAGCAGTAGCTGTACCTCTAAGGCTGAAGCCTCATTGTCACTAACCCTGAGCGTTCCATTGCGATACCGTGAGACTTTGTTGGCTTTCTGCTAGTCAACTGGGGAATGCGCTCTGAAAATGCAATCTCATCATATATTCTTGCATTCCTAACTTTCCACTCAATCTTCCTGGGCCAAATGACAGCATTTACGTCATTAAAGAATCAAATTTAACTTGATTTCATTTGCATCTGTTCTTATCCGCCCCCTTGAAAATGCGATATTAATTTCCGAACAAGTAGAGCTTCTTTCTGCTCATTTTTATTCATTTTTATATCACTTCCTGACAATTGGCAAACACCATTTTGCTGAGTTTTAATGTACGGGACTAAAACGCGAAAAATTGTCAGACTTATGTTCATCCGAAAACTTCAATATTTGCATAGTTATAATTTTTCTCCATCGTAAGAAATATTAGGCGTAGGCAAAAGTTAACAACATTTATTTTTAGATTACTAAAAATAACGACTTTCTCTTGTGTATCCATTTTCGGCCATCTTGCTTTTCTTTAAACACAGTGCTGGAAAATTTTGCACAAGTTTAGGTTTTTATTGTAGACAATTACTAAAAGTAAAGAATTAACGTCAGCGGATAGTGATAAAAAAATTCCATACATTGCTTATGTCTCCTATTTTTATACGCTAAGTTCCTTTCTGGACTAGGATAATCATGGCTCAAAAAGCTGGAAGAGAGTTCCACAAGCCAGAAGTGCGAGAGAAGAAACTGTTAGCATAGAACTTACGGTTACATCTCACCATTTCAACTGTAAAATGATGACACCGTTCTGCTAATATGGTACTGCGCTTAAATTCATAAAGTCTAGGTACCATAGAGGAAAGTTCCTCAGAACAATTACCATGAAAAGATTTATAGATAAGACCCAGGAAACAGTCTACACCAGTGAGCGAAATAAAGGGTTCAGTTCAACATTCCAACCACCTGAAGAAGGCCGGAGCGTACAACGGCCGAAACGTTGTAATAAATATGGCAAAAAAGATGAGGACAATAGTCCGAATAATGTAAATAGTGTACATAACACCTCATCTCAGAAATATAGACGGATAAATTCATTAATTTGAATTGATTACATTTCTAATATAATCTTTTTGTGCAAACTCTAAGTAGAGAGACAAGATAAATTAAAAAAAATATTTTATATTGAAGTGCAAATTCTCAAATTTCAAAGAATTTGACTGTCGGTTGCAAAGATTTTATTTTGCAAAGATTATAAATGCCAAGTTATTCATTTATAAACATAAATATATGTATATTCATTATGTATTATGATGACAGGTTTTATTATTTTGTCAGCGTTCATCAGGCGACAAAGCAGACGACAAAGCAGGCGACACCACTGTTATCAACATTTTTAGAATGAGCAAAAGATTTTGTTAAATACAGAAAGACGTACAGATGCTCATACAAATATGGATGCCAAGTCTGTTTAAGAAAGAACCAACGTTTCCTCTAACTATAAACACCTTACGTTTTCGTTTCTGCAATTCCCAAACACCGATATGCAACTTGCTACCAATTAATTCGCCAGCCAACCCTGAAGTAGGATCTCCACGCCATTTCCCGCCCATACCACAACCAACGTCTTATGCGTTTTGGATTTTATGTAGACCCCCGGCAAGTACTAATGCCAGAAAACCGTCAGTCGTGACAACTCAAAGCCATCCGTGGGCTTTAATCAATAAAACACCATCTTTGTCACGTGACAATTCCGTTGTTCAAACGTCCATCCACCCCACAATATCACGACCATATACTTCTCCGATCCCAATACCATTACTGCTGGCCTCGTTTTGGTGTGAGACTTGCTACTTCCGATTGCTTTGCTGCCCATGCTGTTTGGTTTGCAGCTGCCTCAGTTGCAGCACGGTCAGCTGACGTTCAGGCGGCATCAATGGCGAGGGAGGGAAGGCAGTATTCGCGTTCCTTTTCTAATCAGTACACACATGTATCTGTGTGTGTGTGTGTGTGTGTGTGTGTGTGCATTGCATTATTCTTTAAAATATTCCTCTTATATTCTTCATTGTCATCCGCATCTCTAACTCCCTCTCTCTCTCTCTCTATTTAGCTATGTTGAAATGATGTTCATAAATGGAGGCACAAGGCCACGAATGCAGAGCACTTTCCATCTGAACATGTTCATATATTTTTCAGTTCCTGCAAATGCACATATTACAGTCAGCTCCAATTTGTTATTGGTTTTCAGTCTCTTCGCGCTATTTTTCTTTCTCTCTCTCTTTTATTGCCTCTCACTTTCTTTTCTTTTCTTTTCTTTTCTTTCTTTCTTTCTTTCTTTCTTTCTTTCTTTCTTTCTTTCTCGTTCTCTTTCATTGCCTCTCAATTTCTTTCTTTCTTTCTTTCTTTCTTTCTCTCTTCCTCGTTCTCTTTCATTGCCTCTCATTTTTTCACTTTCTTTTTTTCATTGCCTCTCACTTTCTTTTTCTCTTTCATTGCCTCTCACTTTTTGTCTCTCTCTCTCTCTCTCTCTTTCTCTCTATCCCTTTCTCCCCCTTCTATCGTTTTTAGCGGTTTTTGGCTTCAGCAATCGTTGTGATAAAAAATACAAAAATAATACTTTATTTTCTCATTATCCGCAGTTTCATTGTTTCAGTTAACCGCGGTCAACCCTAGAAATAAAGAATTAATACATTTGATTTAATAATTGTCTCAAAGCATAAAGGGTGTGGGGGGATGCTTGCAATTCGGATATGCCGAAGAGAAACCGTAAAGTGCTTCCTTTTGCGAAATTTTAAGCAAAGAAATAATTATATGTTGATGTTGCTAAGATCTACGTTAAGAATAAATCTATCAGTGACATATTATAGAGTTAAAATTCTCCTAGTTTATTATTAGCTAATATTGCTAAGCAGTTATTGGGTATGATTTATAGATTAAAATCGGAGATATTTATTTTTAGGAAAGACAAATACCAGGTTCGGAATTATCTGTGCTTTCATACGAACATATTCCTCGCATTTTAGGGGGTTATAGTATCTCTCTCTCTCTCTGTCTCTGTCTGTCGGTCTGTCTGTCTCTGTCTCTCTCTCTCTATATATATATATATACATATATATATATGAGTGTGTATGTGTGGATTGTATGGAGACCTTGTGGTACTATATGTACAACATTTCTCTCTATAAGGTCTTTCCATAGAGTGTGATTGGTTCTTCCCAAGCGTTTGTTACTGTGTGCATGTAGTCTGACATTTGGTTCCAAGAACTAAACTGCTAGACCTTCATACGTCGAAAACGAATAGAAAATCAATGTTATATATATATATATATATATATATATATATATATATATATATATATATATATATATATATATATATATATATATGTGTGTGTGTGTTTGTGTGTGTGTATGTGTGTACTTTAAAATCAGGAGATGAGTTGGATCCGTTACCTTGATTTCAGCCTAACGGTATCCTAAGGCGATTTTTATCAGTTGACCTTCCAGCGTATTTCTTTTTTTTTAACCTTTTATGTACTATATTAAAAAACTAAAACGTCGGAGGTCAATTGATAAAAATCGCCTAAGGATACCGTAAGGTTGAAATGAAGGGAGCGCATTCAACTCATCTCCTGATCTTAAAGTTAAAGCCCTACATGTTATTTTTATTTTAATTTTTCACATGTGTATTGAGCACTTTTCAATACTACCGTCTCCTGGTCTGATTCCACTCTGACCATTAACCTTTTATGCATTATACATGCATACATACATACATACATACATACATACATATATATATATATATATATATATATATATATATATATATATATATATATATATATCTATATACCTTCAAACTACATTTATATATATATATATATATATAGAATAACATATTTTTAAGTATATTTTCTTATATTTATATATATATATATATATATATATATATATATATAGATAGATAGATAGATAGATAGATAGATAGATAGATAGATAAATAGATATAGAATAAAATATAGTTTAAAGGTATGGTACATTTATAGGATAGAAGTGCTCTGTATCCGGGACAGAGCGTTTTTAAACGAAATCCTACAGTAGTGCGGACGCTGTTGTCACTACCGAGTGTCGACAGTCTGTTCAATGCTTAAAAACAATCTACAAGACTGTGTGTGTGGTTTTTTTGTATAATAATAGCTTCTACGGTTCTTGCATTGGGTGGTGTAGTGCATTTATTTTGCGTTAATAGTTGAATTTTCGTATTTTTTGTATCGATAAGTGACAAGTTAACCCAAGAGAGAGTGTGGTGCATATATATCCAATGCTGTTTTTTTTTATTGTTGAACAGCAGACCAACATACAGTATTTACTACTCTATTTATGTGAATGGGGACATTATCGTCCGTAGGTATGCTACAATAATCATAATCCGTGATTATGAGTTGACTTATTTGTTTAACGGTACATCAACTCCTTATGGGTCATTTATTACCTAAATTTAAATATCTTAGGAGCTTTGAAGTAATAGAAATAAATAATGTTATTCTGTTTTCACAGTTGGATACATGGTAGCTTTTGTTCCTGTGCATGTTTGTATGGACATAATTAATAAAGGTAGTGATATTTGCGTTTTATGTTTAGTTTTGTTGAAGTCATATTTTGGATAAATGTCACGAAAGAGTTCTTTAATGTTGCTTGGTGTATTGTTGATAATTTTTATATAAGAATGTATTGCTGGATTTTTACTATCAAAATGTATTTTTATATTTCATAGTGTTTGGTTTTGTATTGGGTGATCACTAATTGCCGATAACTGGGCCCCTAACAGGTGCTACCACCACGGATCAAGACGGACTTGGGAACAGCAACAATTAAGAGGTGATCCCACGCTCCTAAAAAACCCCGATTTCCTGATCAGAGATCTTGGCCAGGACTGCCGCGATTAACAAACTTCATGGATTGTG